CACACACACACACACACTGATTGGCAGCACCCTGTCTTTCCACTGAGGAAGGCGGAATGATAAATGTCTCTGTCCAACCTTTCTTAACACAGATTAGACTTAGATACAGTCAGAAGGAGTAGATTTTTAAAGATTTGAATGTGGAAATTATACTTTTTTTCTGCCTGGAACATACATTATTGTTTAATGTCTGGGCATCTTTAACAATGGATCCGTTCCATTCAAGTGTCCCAGTAAGTCATCACAGTGTGACAGTGAGACAGCATACCAGGACGCTGAAACTGAAGCAGCTAAATGGAATTCAGCCATCGTTCATTTTATTGTCTACACCCGTGCTCTTCCTGCTGCAACAGGTTTTTCTGACTTAAGGTCTATTCCTAGCTTGTCCTCAAGAGTGCTCATGGAAGCTGTTGGCCCTCAAGCACTGCTTTGAAGAGCATGTGTTGTTAAACTAGGTAGAAAATCTACATTGACAACTGGGACACTAGCAATGGCTTCAAACATGTTGTATTTTTTACTCATGAAGCATTTTTGCTCAAAGTAACAAAGACTGTATAAACTGGATTACCTGTTTTTGGCTATTTTGAGGATTTTTCCTGTTCACACAGCTTTGCAGGAACAGAACCTCAGTCAGTCAGTATGATGCCAGGGCTAGCAGCTCATAAATATTAAATCATTCATAATGTTAGCCTGGCACTGATGGTTGGGATAAATACTCTATATTAGCAGCATGCATTACTGCAGTTCCTGGGCCAAACAGTAATTTTCTGCCCATAAAGCTAAATGAACTCTGCTGCTAAGAGGAATGACTTGCCATTAGTTTAACCATTACCTCTGAACAGTGCATTCACTTTCCTAATGTTAGAGTCAGAGTGCAGCCGTTCCTCATGGCAACCGTGATGAAACAGGCCGCAATATAAGGACATATTCACACAGCAGTGTAGGACATACTGGCTGTTTTTATAGGCTACATGAGCTAATACTCACTATTTTATGTGGTAATCTTACTCTGATTACCACAAATCAGTGTTTCTTCTTGTTCCCACAGTGTGATGTTTGATCGTCACTGTGCACAATGATGTATGTGCAGAGTCTGACACTAGAAGGATGTTTTCACTAGGGGTGTGAGAAAAGATAAAATAATATCACGATATTTTGTTTTGTGATATTGTATTAATTCTCAAACTTTTGATTTATGTGGTTAAACCCCCAACTGCTAGTATAAACTGAGCGCTCTGATGTTGGATGTTACAGGGACTGTAATAAATAAAAATGCAGCATTTTGTTTTACTCAGATTTCATGCGTACGTATGGTGGTGTGTTCTTTATATTACTACTACTACTATACTACTTTCCTACTATGTTTTCCTAAAATTTGATTTTTTTTATAAAATTCACAATATATCACCTTGCTTACAAGTGTGATGTAGAAATTTTAAGCCACCAGTGCACATCCACTGAGAATGGACTTTACAGTGAAGTAGGAGACAT